GCTGCGCCACCAATCAATTAATTGAGTTCGAAATATTGCAATTAATTGCCCCCACAATCAATTATTCGGTAGGCCTGATTCTAATAATACCGGATTTGCATCCAAGTCTATATACGTTGTTTTCCAAAAATTCGACGATATTGCAGGGGAGTGTCTTTCAATTTTTGTGCTTGTATTTGCTGAATCATGACAAAAATCAGGTTTCACGTGTTATAAAGGTTTTATGTTAACTATTAGCGGGTTTGTTGCTAAGATATTTGGATGGCAGTTCTTCGATTCTCAGCTATCGGATAGAGTTTTGTAAAGAATGAAAAAGTGAAATAAAAAAATAAGTTTTCTTTTATGTTATCGTTATACGTATAACTGATAAGTGATTATTATGTAAAGTAAAAAATCTATAATTTATTTAACTATTGTTACGTTAATCGATTACACATTAATCAATTTCACATTAATTGCTATATTTAATTTAAAATCAGCTTAAGTTGCTATTAAATTTATCGATTATTACAGTACTAAATTTAGAATCAAGTTGTTTTAAATTTTCGTATAAAGTTGGGCAACATTATGAAAATATACATAAAAAATAAAAATTTAAATAGTTTGCAATCAGTAAAATGTGTAGGGTTGGCATTAAATAAATTAATTTTCACGCTGCATGAAAATGTAATGAGGGTCATAAAATTTTACGTAAGCATAATCAGGGTCGTGTAAGCATAAGAAATGTAATCATACTATCATATGATTTCATGTGATTGGTTGGATATATGTCATCGATTTTAATAAGTAGACTTTTTAAATTTTTCATAATACTGGTACTTTATATCACGTGTAAAATTTGTATGAAATCCATGTTATTGAAACTTTCGCAAATTACATGAAATATAAGATTGTAAAATATAATTTTTAACCCTAACTGTAATGTAACTTTACAGCATTAAAATAGTGCATTGTCAAATGATTATTGCCAACATTAAATAATTATCCATCATTATGTTCGGAACTGTAATTTTATGCAGTACTTATTTTTATGCAAGATTTATAAAAAGTTTTGGCAAAAATTATTCACATGATCAAAATAACATGTAATTTTGATTTCTGAAACTTTCTCAAATTTGCGTAAAATTACGTAAAAAAATTACCAACACTACTTGTGGATCTTGATCCGATTACTATCTATTGGATCCTGATTGATCTCCTATTCTTTTACGCAAAATTCGACAGCAATATGAAGTTAATTAGGTAACCTTATTGACTACTTAAATATCATTTACTTGTGCATGCTAATGATGGAAATTTACAAGAACACCTAAAAGCAGATTGCAATGGACAAATTACGCAATAGCACTCGGACTTTATTTTTACATGATAATAATATTCATAGAAACCTTGTAAATATTAGTAAATATTATGGGTTTATTGAGTCTACTGTTTATCACTACATACAGTGTCCCCAAAAAGTAATACTCTCTTGATTAAGAACCGGGTATTATTCACTGAATGCCTAGCTTAATTTCTGAATAATATTCAGGAGTATAAATATATCTGGTCTCTAAAATAATTTATTTCTTGTAAAATTATGGTATGAAATTACAATTTTAAAATTTTTATTTTTATTTTTATAAAGAATGTTCCTAGTATATAACAAATAAAAAAAAACTGCCAATTAGAATAACCGTTTAAATCGATATAATTTATCTTAATTTTGACGGCAATTATCATTATTCGCAATATTACAAAAAATATTTTAATTCTGTATTACGACAAATCATATAGATTTAAGAATTTAAATATATATTTTTTTTAATTTTTTTTTTTAATTCGGATTCACGATACATACTTTGAAATATTTTGTATCAGGAAACCCAGATGTATCTATTGCAGAGAAACAAAATTAATGTACTTTAAAACCAAATTTGAAATGGATCATAACGTAAATTCTAAAAAATAGTGATTACAATGTTCACAATTTGCAGTTAAAAAAGTGATATTTTTTATGATATACTATATCTCATACTATGTATGAGATACTGACAGAGAATGCATATTATTATTTACATATTATATTATATGATGAAAAGGATGACTCTAAGTAATTCTCAAATATTAAAAAGTTTTAGTATTTATTATTAATAACCTTTTGTTATCTTGAAGACATCTGAGTCACCAATTCTACATTTTTTGCCAACACCTATGAAAAAAAAGTGAATATCACATTAAATATGTCGAAATAATCAATTAGCAAATTAATATAATCAAATATTTTACATACATCTTCTAACTGATCATTTAGTGCTTTAACCTTTTTATCTAGTTCACGTTTCGTTAGTATTAATTGATCTTTGTCATTTATTGTATCCAAATACTTGAATTGTACATCTGCCAGCGTTTCTCTCAATCGATCACATTCTAAATTTGATGTTTTCAACGAGTTTTCTAATTCAACTACCCGTTGTTCTAATATGTCAATTTTATCATTACCATCAATAATTGGTTCTTCGCTGATTCCAAACTGCGTTAAAAACGAACTTCCGTGAAATTTTTTGCTCATAAGCTTTTCCTTTTCATGAAATTTATTGCGAATGAGATTTTCCTTTTCTTGTTTCATTAAATCAAGTTCATTCTTTAAATAGACACTATTTCTTTCGGTTGTTGCCATCGTTTTTTCAAATGCTTGTATTATCTTTCTTTTTTCTGTTTCGGCTTCTGCTACTTTTTTCGTAAGTGTCAATATTTGTGCTTTATGTTTTTCAATCTGTTTCTTGGAATCTCCTAATTGAATTGAAAATTTCCCTTCTACATTCTTCAATTTTGCTAACTCATTCTCATTCCGTTTTTTTTCTGCTTCCAATTCTCGAATTCGTCCATTTGCTTCAACATTTTCTTTACCAGCATCTATTAATTTTTGTTTTATTGCTCTTTTGTCTGCTAATACATTCTCTAATTCTTTACGTAATGCATCAACTTCGGTCTCTTTTCTTTTCATTGTTTCTTGTATGATTAATTGTTGTTCTACAAGTTCTGTTTCTTTCCGTTGCCAAGCTTCCCTTTCAGCGGCTATCCCTTTCATCATCATCTGAACACCATTCTGTTGATCCTCAAAAAACTTTGACAAAGCGGCCTTTTGGTTCTCGACTGCTTGCAGTTTTTCCGATTCTACTTCTCGAGAACTTCTAAGTTCATATAGTTCGCTTTGTGTTCTTACATGTTCTTGCTGTAATTCCATTACTCGAGATTCTAACAATGTTATATTAAGCTCTGATTCTTGATATTTTGCCTGAAGATTTTGGTATTCTTTCTCCCATTTTACTTTCATTATATTAATCAACCCAGCTAAGGTGTCACGTTCTTCAACTATTTTTTTCAGTTCGGCTTTGAGTTCAAGGCATTCTTCCTCTATATGTTGCCGTTCCTCTTTAATTTTCTCTAATTCAGCCAAGATTTGAGTCTTTTCAGAACTGATTGAGCTATTATTATTTTC